GTAAAAGTTATCAATCTAGTTCCATCCTTTTACAAATGGATATCTGCTTTTGCTCAGCACGCCTTGTTGTGGTGGCTTTTTATCCTATCTACGTTTTTAACCCTTTCATTAGGAGTTAGGAGACTGTAGCCGCGCGGGTTTGTTTCTGGGTTCTCTATTTTATACATTGGCATATATTGGCATATACGGCTCCTTTTGTACCAGTGTCGTGCTGTTTTTGTTACTGTAGCTCTGTAGGTTAGTTTGAGACCGGGCACTGTGATACCTTCAGTATTGCTCTTCTGCTTGGGATTGCTTCAGTTAGGGTCTTTGGTGCTTCCATATGATCTCGTGTTTTCCTTGTCCCTTGGCTGTATGAAGAGGCTGTCTGAGTGACCGACCCACATTATTCCTGTTGTGAGAGCATGTGATATTTGTAAGACAAAAGAACCACTTATTCTCAACAATGTATGGCACATGACCGTGGTTCCTAACCTAGCTTCTTTCCTCAAAAATAATTCGTTCTATTTATTTTTCAGGTTCCCATTTCAGTCATTCATAAAGAATGATTCTTTCTGAGGCCCAGTCAACCAGAGGTGTGGAAACAGGACTATTTATTTCTAAACAAAAGAATCACTTGGGTGACCTTTCCCTGCAGGTCTGAACAGGTCCCAAAGGAAGGGGCACAGGCCCAAAAGGCAGCTCCCGACTTGGGAGACTTGACTTCCTGCTCCCAAGGCTCATCTGGCGCCAATTCCTTATTTTGTCTATCTACCCACCAGGTGATGTTCCCTGTTTTCCTGGGTGAGCGGGTTCCTTCTGAGACGCTGGCAGCCACACTGGCGGAATTGGATGTGAACCTGCGGGTGCTCGAGGACAAGTTCCTCCAGGACAAGGCCTTCCTTGTGGGGCCCCACATCTCCCTGGCTGACTTGGTCGCCATCACAGAGCTGATGCATGTGAGTGCTGTAAAAAGAGCGCCCCCATAAGATACAGGGAGTGCTGGCTGGTTACAGAAGTCCCTGTTTTGCTAACCCTCACTAGATCTGTTCCTATGTCTCCGGAGACTCCTTCCAGATTTATGTGTGTCCTTGGCTGTTCTAGTTTGCTCCTCTGTTGCTGTCTAAAACACTAACCCAAAAACCATTTTGGGAGGAAAGGGTTTATGTGGCTTACTGGCTACACTGCAGCATGGAGGGAAGCCAAGGCAGATACTCAAGGCAGGAGCTGGAAGCAGACATCATGGAAGGATGCTGCTTACCAGCTTGTGCCCGGTGAGTGGTTTGCTCAGCTACCTTTCTTATACAGCTCCACAGCTCAGGCCCACCACCCAGGTGTGGCACCATGCACTGCGTACTGAGCCCTCCTACCCCAGTTAGCAATCAAGAAAGCACCCCCACAGACATCCCCACAGGCCAATCTGATGGAGACCATTGCTCAGTGGAAATTTGCTCTTCCTTGGTATATCTACATTTGTGTCAAGTGGGGAAAACATTGACCAGTGCAATGTTCTCCTTGTCTGCCTGACACATGAACACATCATTGTTAAACTGTCATCTTCCATTTCTTTGTCCCCAAGATCTAGGATCACAAAGCACAGTATAATTTTAAATGTCCCATAGCCTCTTAAAATGCCCGATGGTTTAAAAAGTACACGTTCCTCTTTAAAAATCCAAAATCTCACCACCAGGTGGTAGTGGCACAGGCCTTTAGTCCCAGCACTCGGGAGGCAGAGGCAGGTGGATCTTTGAGTTCAAGGCCAGCCTGGTCTACAGAGCAAGTTCCAGGACAGCCAGGGTGACACAGAGAAACCCTGTCTCAAAAAACAAACCAACAACAACAAAAATCCAGTCTCTTAACTGTGGGATGTTGTAAAATCCCAAACCAAGTTACATAATTTCTTTTTCCACAAGGGATCTTGCTTCCCAAGGGAAGAATAAGGGCATAGTTACAATCAGGCCAATGCAAAATCCAAATCCTATTGCATAAACAGTTCGGTGTCTGACATCTGAGACTCACGATCTGCTGGGATCCAGAGGGCTTTCGCGGTTGTAGTTCCCCTGCTCTGCCGTCTATAACGTACAGTCTGTCTTGTTGGCTCTGGTTGGATTCACATCACACCTGCCGCTCGCTGACCTTGGTCACCTTATAGTCCTGGCTGATCCAGTATTCTGGGGTTTTCCCTAAAGCTGAGTCTGCAGACTTCACCAATGGCCTCTCCTGGCTTCATCCAGTGTCGACGTTTAGCTGCTCTCAATGGCTCCTTCGTGCCTTCAAATCCAATACGCTGTGGGAGACTCTTACACGTTATTTGCCAGATTCTGCTGCCAGTTTGATAGGCATCCTTGGCCTACCCCACTCCTGGACCACAGCTTCTGTGTGCTGACACTGCGGAAAATACTTCCCAGATGTTGCCTGGTGATGCTGGTCTTATTAATTTCAGCTGAGTTTTCACCCCAGCTAACCAGCATCCCTTGTCCCAATGTTTCACTGCCACAGATTTTTAATAGCTCATCCTAGTGGCCCTGATAAAGTCTTTAAGGGATTCTCAACCTTCTCTTTGAAACCCTACAAACCTGGTCTCTATCATCTGCATTTCTTTCAACATTTGTTTCTCCAAACTGCCATAGAAGAGCCCATTCACCTCTGACTACTCAATGACTTTTCTACAACCCTCCCGCTAAAAACAACGCGGTCAGGACCATCACAGCAACACCCCCCTTCTGTCACCGGTTTTCATTCTGGTTTGCTTTTCTGTTCCTGTGAGAAATAACATGCTCCCCACCCCCAAACAAAACTACTTGAGAAAGAAAAAAATGTATTTCAGTTTATAGGTTATAGTCCATCATCAAGGGAAACTGGGGTAGGAGGAAGGAAGGAGCCTGAAGTCAGGAACTGAAACAGAGAGACCACAGAAGCAACCTGGCTTGCTCCCAGGCTCACACTTGGCTCACTTTCTTATATGGCCCAAGCCCATCTTCCCAGGGGCGACACCATCTGCGGTGGGCTAGGCCCTCTCACACCAGTCAACAATCAAGAAGATGCCATGCAGGCATTCCTAGAAGCCAATCTAATGGAGACAGTCCCTCGGTTGAGTGCTCTCTTTTCTACGTATGTCAAGTGAACAACCCAAACTTAGCCACAAGCTCACCCCCCCACCCCTGTTCTGTTCTCTTCCTGTTAAAGCCTATAGGTGGCGGCTGCCCTGTCTTTGAAGGGCATCCCAAGCTGGCTGCGTGGTACCATCGAGTTGAGGCAGCAGTGGGAAAGGAGCTCTTCCGTGAGGCCAATGAGGTCATCCTCAAGGCTAAGGACTCTCCTCCTGCCAACCCCATCATAAAGCAGAAGCTGATGTCTAGAGTGCTGACCATGATCCAGTGAGGGCAGACCCTCCTCCCTGCACCGCCCATGGGTGTTCACAAAACCTCACAGCACAACGGTTCTTAGGCCAGGCTCCATCTTCACCCTCTTTCCACGATAGCCACACATGACCACGACTAAATCGCTAGCTTTAACTTTTTGAGTTCGGATAATAAACCTAGCCTCGAGTTGAGCCTTAGCTTCTCTGTGTTGTTTATTTGACCTTCCTCTATTTGGGTCCAGCTATCTTTCCCAAAGACAACTCTGTTTCCCAGGCTTTGAAATCCTCCCCCCACCCCCACCCCGTGGCTGCCGAGAATGAAATCACTGATAGGCATGCTAACTCATGCGTGTAATCGAGCATTCAGAAGGATGAAGCGAGAGAATCACTGAGAGTTCAAGGCCAGCCTGGGCTACACATTGAGGATCCATTCCAGCCTGGGATACAGTGTGAGACTGTATCTCAGCAACAAAACAAGACAACAACAGACAGAGCACGCTAAATCACAAATGCCCTTCAGACTTCTGGCTCTTGGAGAATCCCATCAGCAGGTGTCTTAGCTGCAGGCATGCAAATCCATCACTTGGCCAGGCCAGCTCTTGGACATGCCCCTTCATAGATCATCAGCCTTTCCTGACCTACAGAATTGATCAAGAGGAGAAAAAGCCCACATCAGCTCTCCTGGTCAAAGGTCATGCTCAAACGGGAAGCAGGAATGTGGGGCTCAGATTGCATCCTGGGATCACAGTCTAGCTGTTGTGGGTGGGGGAGTGGATTAGAAGGCAGCCCGGAAGGAGCTGTGAGAGGCTGGATAGTGGGGGTGGGGGTGGGTGGGTAGACAAAGGCAACTTGTGGAGAGCTAGTAAGCTCCAAAGGAAAGCTATGGGAAAATGGAGAAGGGGCCCCTCCCCCCAGTCTAGCTTCCACTGTGACAAGAAGACACTTTGCTGGGGGCGGGTGGGGGGGATAAGTCTCCCCTTAACAGGAAACATTTAGGACTAGGAAGATAAAGCTGTTCTCAGCTTTCCCAGTCTTGCCAAGACACGCTTTCCGAAATTGTCATTTGAGACACTGGTGAGTTTCCCTGGCAAAACCATGTAGTCATCCGTGAGTGCTATTGAACGCTTTTTGCACTGGGTTGGAGACGTTTAATCCAATCCCAGGCACACCTGCAATCCTCCCTCCCCTTAGTCTCTAGAAGAGGATTAGCTGGAATATAATAATGGGAAGGGCCAGGTCGTTTCCTCACAGGCTGTGGACCCAGCCTTTGCACACTTGGCCAAACATCACCCCCATCCTGATTCCTGGCCCCGGGGAACTGGGTGGGAAGGCAGTTGAACTTTCTCCTTTTCCGCATCAAGGATCTCTGAAGCCACTCCTCTCTCAGCCCTCTCCCTGAGTGGACGGAGAGAAAGTGAACTGTGGGCAGGAACACTTTTGCCCCTAAATTCAGCGATGGAAATGCCCTTCGCGTCCCTTTCCCCATTAGTACGCTCTGCTCCTCATTCTACCTAAGCACGGAGGGACGAGTAGAAGCACCCAGGTACACAGTTAGGTTGATCGAAGCAGAACTAACCGGCAGCCCGCCTCTGATTGGCCCAAAGTTCTCATGAGCATCCAATGGGAGGAAAGGCTGCGATCTGGCTGGAGTATAGGATTAGACGCCCGGAGGGCCTGGACGCAGCCGTTCTTGTTTGCCGTTGTAGCTGCTTCCAGCTCTGTCTCCAGGGGAGCAGTTCCCCAAAGTCAGTCTCTGAGGTTTGTCCGCGGCCGCTCCTACAACCTCCACCATGGGCCTGGAGCTCTTCCTGGACCTGATGTCCCAGCCCTGCCGTGCTGTCTACATCTTCGCCAAGAAGAACAACATCCCCTTCCAGCTGCGTACCATAGAGTTGCTCAAAGGTGAGCCGAGTTGGCTGGCAGGGTAGTCTGCAGCCTTGTGTACGCTGCACCTCTGCCGATTGTAGTCCGCGAACTCAGGCCAGGAGTGCAAACAGGAGAGGAAACGCCCGCTGCTCCCGAGAGGAAGCGGTTGTATCGGTTAGGAGCTGTGATTCTTTTAGAGTTATTTGTTTGTTTTATGTATGTATACAGTATGTGTACGGGTACCCCGGAAGGCTAGAAGAGGGCTTTTTAAATCCTTCGGACCTGGAGTTACAGATGATTGTCGGCCACCTGACGTGGGTGCTGGGATCTGAACGTCGGTCCTCTGAAAGAGTAGCCTACCTCTTTAGCCACCTCAGCTGTGAATTTTCAGAGAACCTTTGCCTGGTGAATTAACATCCTTCCAAATACCCTATGGTAAGGCGCCGCCGTGGAAGCTCTGGTGGTGGGGCAGAGGCGGGGTATGAAAATCCCACCTCCTTTCACGGGAGAAAATAGGCTGAACTAACTCATTTTCTTTGCGGAGGATCCCCATCTCAAGTGTCTGCATTCTGGGGCCGAAAAGAATTGGTTTACTTGGGTGTGTGGTCTTCCACTAGGACTCTTGCACGTCTCCTACCCACCAGGTAAAGTCCCAGGCTTGCTTGCCATCCTGTATGTGTGTGCGCGCGCGCCTGGTCCTACTGGGACCAAACCAGTAGCCACCGCTGAGCAACACTCCCAGCCCTCTCTGTGCTTGTCATTTTGAGACTGAGTTGCTGAGTTGTCCAGGCGTTGCACTCACTTAGCCCTTTCAAGCTCTGAGCCCGGGATCCTTCAGTTTCCCACGGAGCTGGAATTACAGGCTTGCCTGGGCATGCCACCTCCCCTTCTAGAAGTTTGCTTTCTGGGTGTTTCCTGTCAGCTAGAGGGTTCTGTGAAAGGACAGTGGGAGAGGCCAGCGCTCTGACTGGAGTTGGAATGTTGCTCTGGTTAGTCTGAGAAACAACAACAACAAAAAAAAAAAACAAAAAAAAAAACACAGCCCCTGCGCCAGAACTCAGTGGAGGCAGGGCCACAACTGGTGGACATGGTCACGTGGTCATGTGGGGTGGGGTGGGGTGGGGTGGGGGAATGACAGGCAGAGAATTTAGAACTTAATTGTTCTGCTGAGTCCTCCCACCAGCTGTCTTTGGGACTTTCAACTTGGGCTGCAGGACAGGGGCTGCACATAGGCAGTTTGGAGAAGGAGGATGGACCAAGGTGATGGCATCCATTCAGTGGAAAGAGAGAGAGGCCCACAAATGAATCTAGCCTCCTGGCTTCACCAATGCCTGCATACGCAACTCATATTGACTGGGCAACCCCCCTTGTATAATCAGATCTGGCTTAGGCACGGTGATCAGAAGAGAGGCAATGAGTTTGGTCTGGGAACCCCAAGTGGGGAGGAGCTTTGAAGGCTTGGCACAGAAAAGGAAGAATTGAGCTGCTAGGGGCCAGGTGGCTGAATGGGGGGCACTTGTTCCTGGCAAGAGCCACGCTGAGCTGAGAACTGAGACGAGGGAGAGCTGGAGCTCTGGGGTGGACATAGGTCACCTGGTCTTGCCTGGGATAGGAAGATGGTTCAGAGCCCAGGGAATGAGACTGGGTGTCTGCCTAGAGTGACCGTAGGCCATAACTGCACAGAACCACCTCGTTCCCATACCCAAGTGGACACAGAGGTGAAAGCAAATGGATTTGTGATAGGATGGATATCTGTGGTCCACTGGCCAGCACGGTGGCTTCCTCTTCGCCGAGACTTTGTGTGGAAAACTGGTGCCAGAATGGAGGGAAGGCTACCGACAGCCCCAGAGTCCTCTTCCTGACCGTTCTGGTCTCTCTGCAGGCCAGCACTACACTGATGACTTTGCCCAGGTGAATCCCTTGCGGAAGGTGCCCGCTTTGAAGGATGGGGACTTCGTCTTGGCAGAGAGGTAATATGTTTCTGGCTTGCAGCCAAGCTGTGTGAGGCAGGCCACTTGTCTGAGCCCATCGCCAACAACTCGGACTGTGGGTTCTGTGTCAGCCCCAGGGGGAGGATTGGATGAAACTCAGATAGGTACGCGGGGCCGAGGTGGGGCTTTTGAAGACATGGTATGCCTACCACCCTCTGCATTTTTGGATGAGGAAACCAAGCCAGGGGTATGGGGGCAGGGGGACAGGCTGCTTCCCAGCTCCTTGATGGACGGATGCGAGAGCAGCAGCGGGAGAGATGGACAGAGAGGAAGGGCATCCCTGGCAGAGACACAGGTCCCAGCAGGGGAGGTAAGGAGTTGGTGAGGGAAGGAAGTGAGCCAGGCCATGATGGTCAGGAGAATCTTGCAGCCTGCCTGACTGGCAGCCAGAGTCCTTCTTTATTTATACAGACTTTAGTAGGCAGGGATACATTCATGTTGTTCCAAAACATAGATCGTGTCATTTCTGTTTTTGCACATTGTCTCACTTCCTTTTGCTCATCTTTTAGTCATCATTAATAAGCAGTGGCAGAACAGTTATCATTGCCAATCATTTTCCCTCGTTTTTTTTGTTTGTTTTTTTGTTTTTGTTTTGTTTTTTTTTTTTTTTTTTTTTTTGGATTTTTGAGACAGGGTTTCTCCATAGCTTTTGGTTCCTGTCCTGGAAATAGCTCTTGTAGACCAGGCTGGCCTCGAACTCACAGAGATCCGCCTGCCTCTGCCTCCCGAGTGCTGGGATTAAAGGCGTGCACCACCACCGCCCGGCTTTCCCTCGTTTTGACATCATTGATAAACAGTTATCATTTTAAATAACACTTATTAACCCCATAACCCATTTTTTTTTTTTTTTGATTTTTCGAGACAGGGTTTCTCCGTAGCTTTTGGTTCCTGTCCTGGAACTAGCTCTTGTAGACCAGGCTGGCCTCGAACTCACAGAGATCCGCCTGCCTCTGCCTCCCGAGTGCTGGGATTAAAGGCGTGCGCCACCACCGCCCGGCTCCATAACCCAATTTTTAAGACTCTACAGACATATGACAGCCTGTTCTCAGGCCGGTAGCTTTTGTGGACACTAGACCAAAACAAAATCTCCAAGCCAGCCTGAGCATACTGCCATGTCCCAAGCAGTGAATTATCAACTCGTATGGTCAGAGGGCCCAACAAAAGTTCTCAGACCAAAGCTGCTAGAGTTATTATTCAAATTCTGGAATAATACAATGTTTATAGTTTATATCTTTATAGAATTTGTCTGTATGTCAAATGCCAGGATTAGTCCTGGCATTCCGTTGTTCCTTGGCCATGTGACAGCACAGTGACTCTGCATGTGCTAACTTTTCTAAGAAAGGGAGGTCCTGACATCTCATTCTTTTGTCGTCTTTCTACTTCATCCTTTGCCCATCAATATGAGTCTCTCTATAGGGCAGAGGTAACCTTGGCTATATAATATATATAAACCTCTTCACACCATATATATACGATTTGATCTGTGGCCAACTCCTCCAGCCCACCGAATCTTGTTGACCTTTTTGAGTTTACTTTGTTTTGAATATCTGTTCCTGCATAGGTATAGGAACAGATGTTTCAAGAATGTCTCGTAGCCTCATAAAGAGACCTCTGGCTTCTTTATGTGTGTCACAACCTTCAAGGCATAAGGAAGACTTTCAATTAGATAAGGATATCTCCCTCAAAATGTGTTCAGGACTGTCCTGGGGGAAGCTTAGAAGCAGCATTCATGGGAGATGTAAATGATTCATAAGAAATTTTCCATCAATCTAATATTTCCAAATTGTACAAATATTAAAAGTCCCCTGAGTATGCAACAGGTGGATTGAAAAGCAAAGGTGGCACAGGGACCATCATGCAGCTCAGCTTGTCAAGCAGCTGGGCTGGCATTATCACCTTTGCCATTCATATCAGATATGGCTGTGCCAAGGATGGACCGTGCCAAAGAGCAGCTATGCCAGGCTCTGCAAATACCACATCTACCACATATCCTGGGGTAGACAGGGGAGTGGGAGCTGCTTCCCTTGAAGCCAAAGGCTCACCCGTTGAACTTAGTCACCTTCTGCCAAGCACCCAGCAGCACCAGGTCACTGTCTGTCCCTGGAGCTTGAGCAGAACATAATCTGGGCCCGCATGGAATCTTATTTTGGAGGGAGGCGTGGCAATGACTTAACAGATGGAGGAGACACAGGTTGGGGGTGTGATTGCAAGTGAGGGGTTAGGAGGGCAGCCTGCTGCAGAGGTGGGAACTTCCAGTGTGGGTGTGCAGGTATGTGGGAGGTGTGCTCTTGCCAGAAGGACCATGCAGGGGTACAGGCTGAAGGGCTAAGGCTGGCACTGCTGGGGTGAAGGAGTTGGGGGGTGCACTGGGAGATAGGGAAAGGCTTGAACCTTTCCCGTGGGCAGGAGAACCTGAGCAGAGAATTCCCATCCCTCTTGTGTTTGAAAGGGTTCCCAGGCTGGCTAAGAAGGCACTTGGAAATTCAGGCACAAGACACTCTGGCTATGGACCAAGGTGACTTAATGACCAGGGCGTGTTCTCTTCCCCTCTGCTTTCCTCCAGTGTGGCCATCTTGCTCTATCTGAGTAGGAAGTACAAGGCCCCTGACCACTGGTACCCTCAGGACCTTCAGGCTCGAGCCCGTGTAGATGAGTACCTGTCGTGGCAGCACACAGCCCTCCGGAGTAGTTGCACCAGGGCCATGTGGCAGAAGGTGAGCCACAGGACAAAGGGCAGGGTCCCCTCTCAGGCCGCATCAGAGATGGTGTTCCCGGTTGAAGTGAAAGTTCTTGGGCCAGTGGTATGTCTCAGTGGGTGTAAAGGCAGTGGGTATCAGGCAAGCCTGACAACCCGAGTCCAATCCCTGTGACCCGCATGGTAGAAGGAAAGAACCGGTTCCTGCAAGTTGCCTCCTGACCCCCGCAAGCACGTGTGGTGAGAGAGGCATGCACTTGCGTGTGTGAGAGCTTGTGTGCATGCACTCAAAAGAAATAGATAAAACAAATACATTTTCTTTTTTTTTAAAGCAATTTTTTCTAATATTTATTTATTACGTACACAGTGCTATGTCTGCATAAATGCATGCAGGCCAGAAGAGGGCGCCAGATCTCATTGCAGATGGTTGTGAGCCACCTTGCGGTTGCTGGGAATTGAACTCAGGACCTCTGGAAGAGCAGTCACTGCTCTTAACAGCTGAGCCATCTCTCCAGACCCCAAACAAATACACTTTCAATTAAATGTTATGTTTAAGCTTTTCAACTTAGGGATCTTAGCATTCCATCACGAAATGTCATAGGTTAATGCTAGAGGCACTCCTGAGTACTGGTGTTAGCCCAGTAAACTCCCTCCACAGTGTATCAACTACCTTGTCTCTCTTGAGAAGTCCCACTTGAATAAAAGGGGATCTGGAGTAGGGACAGGATGGCAGCAGCTGCTACACTGTGGAGGGCTTTGTGTTGAGGTCTTGGTCCTGAGAGCCAGGAATGACTTGCTGCAGGAAAAGGGTAAGAGCAAGACAAAAGATGAGTGTTGGGCAGAGCCAAATGTTTCTTTTTGCTGGTCCACCAGATGATGTTCCCTAAGTTCCTGGGGGAGCCGGTGCCCCCAGAGATGTTGGCATCCACTTTGGCTGAACTGGACAGGTGCCTGCAGATGCTGGAGGACAAGTTCCTGCGGGACCAGGCCTTCCTTACGGGATCCCATATCTCCGTGGCTGACCTGATGGCCATCACAGAGCTGATGCACGTGAGTGCTGTGGACTGGGGCTATCTGCTGGACGACGGAGAGGCCGGGGGGGGGGAGCCCTTGCTCATGCTGACTTCTGGCTGTGGGGCCCTGGATAAGTCTCCATTTTACTATCATGTTGTATGTGTGTGTGTGTCTGTCTGTTTGTTTCAACGAGTTTCATCAAGGCTGTTTACTGGAGGATGGGTGAGCATTTGTTTACAAAAGCATGGGCGCCTTGCCAGTGGCCACAGAAGAAAATGTCCTCTCTTGACAACTATTATCCTCAGAGAGGGGTGAGACCCCAAGTGTCCTTTGTCCCTCCCGGACAGGATGCTAGTGGGTCCAATAATATGCAAATGCTATACCATTCCATTCCCAGAAGTCAGTGTTCCCCAGGACTCCTCTTCCTTTTCTGCTCTCTTCTATTCTTTCCACTTCTTCCCCAGTATTTCCTTCCTAAGCCTTGGGAGGGGATGGCATAAAATGCCTGATTTATGATTGAGCTTTTGACCATCACGTTTCTTACCATTACCAAGTAAATCCTTATAACTTCTTCCGATGGAGGCATTGAGAGGCACATCACACATGGTGGAGGAGGGAAGATGGGGGGGAGGGCGGGGCAGGCGGGAGGGGAATCCTGAAATAGGCCATGCTGCCTTTGTAGATGGTGGAACTTAGCCCCTCCTCTACTTGACTTCTCTCCACAGCCTGTCAGTGCTGGCTGTAAAATCTTCGAGAGCAGACCCAAACTGGATGCCTGGCGTCAGCGTGTAGAAGCTGCCGTGGGGGAAAACCTCTTCCAGGAGGCCCATGCAGTTGTCCTGAAGGCCAAGGACATGCCTCCTTTGATGGACCCTGACTTGAAGGAGAAACTGAAGCTCTCGGTGCAGTGTTTGTTATATTGAGGGAGTGGCCCAAACCTGTGGTGCCATCAAGGGGAAACTCTGGGCTGTGCAAATGAAGAGATGAGGCAGATTGTCCCCGTGGCTGTCACTAGGACGTGGAGTCTCTGGTCCATAATTTCCTTTAGGCATCGTCAGCGTTCCTCTGTATCCCCCACCCTGCTTGTGCTGTGACACCAGCTTTTACCTGACCTCTGGAGAGATCTGCAGGAAAAGCCCTGGGGAAACACTTGCTTTGAAACTTTACAAACCATTGAACTGTAAGCTTGGCCCACCCTCCAAGTCACACCTTTCTGGCTGCATTCACTTCAGGCCCCTCTTCTGCTCTCCTGTTGCTCCCCACCCCAAGCCCTTCCCATAGCCCCTTTGGGCTCCTCGTTCCCAGTGCTTCCCTTCCTCTGTTTTGGCAGGCAGGATCTATGACCCCTGGCTTGAGCACTTGTCACAGATCAGAAGGCCTTTGTCCTCTGGGTCCTTCTCCCTCTGGGGTGATGCTGCCTGCCATAAATAGGGTATAGGGTTGGTTCATGAAGTTCTTTGCAGGGTGGAAGTTTCTGACAGTGTCCTGACTTTCCAAATTCTGGCAAGCAATCCTGCTTGTTCCAAGTCTCCTTACCCTGACTGCTGTCTTCTGAGTGTCTCTAACTCCAAATTGTCAGGCTACTTAATCTTGTGCTGTAGGACCTCCGGTCTGTGCATTACCTAATAAATAAATTGCTAATAGAACAACAAGAGTGATGGTCGAGTCTCTCAACCTATTTGCTTACATTTCCTTTAGTATGTACACCTAGATTGCTTGTGTGTGTGTGTGTGTGTGTGTTTATGTGGGGTTTTTTTTTTTTGCGGGGGCGGGGGTTCAAGACAGGGTTTCTCTGAAACTCGGTCCACAGACCAGACTGGCCTTGAACTCAAGAGTGCCACCTGCCTCTGCCTCCTGAGAATGTTGGGATTAAAGGCGTATACCACCACTACCCGGCCAGATTGCCTTGTTTTAAATGGTTCTGCTACCCTCTCATCACTCACAGAAGAGGCTACAAACCCAGGTAGTTTAAGGTCCAACTGGAGATGCCCTTGTCCTAGGGTCTTGCCCAAGCGCATCTCACTCACAGGTGATACCTGGTCTCAAGACTGTTCAAAAGAAGTGTAATTCCTATATTGAATTTGAAATAATCATAATCATAATCATTCAAGAAACTTTAAGCCAGCCTGGCGCTGTGAAGTCTACAGAACGTTGTGGGCGTTTCCCTGGGACACTTAGAGGGAAACAGAGCCCACTGCTGACTGGGAGGGCCAAAGGCTCTAAAGCTAGGAGTTAGGTAAGTTGGAGCCGGCACACGTGATTGCAGAAGAGGAGTAGTCCGGGTAGCCAATCCAGAACTGCCGATGCTGCCTGGCCAATGAGAAGCTTAGCTGAGCCTCCTCTCAACGCCCCGCCCCGCTCCCCTTTTCTGGAACCTCTGCTGGCTACGGCGGCTCTCTCTGCGCAGTTGCGGCTTTGCGATCCCTCTCGCCCCCCAACATGCCATTCATTGAGTTGGAAACGAACTTGCCAGCTAGCCGCATACCTGCAGGGCTAGAGAAGCGACTGTGTTCGGCCACCGCCGCCATCCTGGACAAACCCGAAGACGTGAGCTAGGGTCGGGGAGCCCTGGGCGAGCGGAAGTTGTGGGCTAGGGGCCAGACCTCCCAATGACCCTTACTCTTATCACCAGAGACCCCACCTGCCTGCTAACCTCTGACCTTGCGTGTCCCATCCTCCCTTCCCAGGTCCCTTCCTGGTTGCCCCTCCTAGGCGTGACCCTGACGTCTCTGACTTCCAGGGTTCCTAGACCAGTGCCCCAAACCCTCATCCCTCAGACCCCCCCACCTTAAGACTTTGGCTTGCCGGTTCCCGGACGCCAGCCCGGCCTGCCTACGCTTTAGGACTTTAACTTTTATGCTCCTTGCAGCGCGTGAGTGTGACGTTACGGCCTGGCATGACCTTATTGATGAACGGATCCACAGAGCCCTGCGTCCAGCTTCTGGTCTCTTCCATCGGCGTTGTGGGCACGGCAGAGCAGAACCGCAGCCACAGCTCCCGCTTCTTCGAGTTCCTCACCAAGGAGCTGGCCCTGGACCAGGACCGGTATGTGTAGGGCAAGTGAGGGAACTTAGCTGGGACTGCTGAGCCGCCAAAGCAGTGATCCTGACTCCCCGCTGAATGCGGTTGGGGTGGGGGACATTATCTGCTGGTTCCAGAAAGCACTCCAGGACCTAGTGTGAGGAGATGCATCTGCTCCTTAGGCCCTGGAACGGTGGGCCTGTGTTTAGAATAGTTGTAAGATTTTGATTCCTTCGAAGACCTGCAGCCATCCCTGTTAGCCCCGAGTAAGGATGGCATGGGAAACCCCTGTGTTTCTGTGTGTGTACTGAGAATGTGGTCAGGTACCCTGAGAACCACTGTGGCCTCTGCCCTGTCTCTGAACTAGGGTGTCTGGTCTTCAGGGAGAACCTTTCCAGAGGGAATCTGGTTATGTCCTGAGGCAAAGAACTTTGGACTAGGTAAGATAAGGTTCGAGGAGAGTCACCGGGTAGCAAGACCCTTGCCCAGGTAGCTGTAAACACCTTGATTTGAGGGCTACCACAGCTAAGAGATCCCAGATAAATCTGGACTTGAACCACCTCCAATTTGTAGCCTTCTCTTCCATAAAAGCAGTGGGTCAGGCTGAGTGACTTCCCTCTCTGACAAGAAGGTGTCCCCTTTCCTTCTCTCAAAAACAAAATCTAAAACCAACCAACCAAAAAACCCCAAACAACAACAACGAAAACACCTTATACTCTGAAGCAGGGTTAGGGTCTCATATTCCTGAGCCTAGTCCATGTCTGTGAGGCACTATGGGGAAATTTTTGAAAGAACCTTCCAGAATGGAGTCCTTTTTGGCTCAGGAAAGTGGTAATGACTGCTTGAGGTGGCTGCTTAAACTCCATCCTTCAGTCCTAGAGACAGTTAAATGCTTTTTTAACTGTAACACTCTTGAGCTCGGCACATACCAGGATTGCTACACCCATTACCTCATTTGACCCTTAAGTGCTTCTGTACAGATTTGGCATCTTCATGAGGTAGATAATTGCATTAGACCAACTTTACAGTGTCAGCCCTAAGCACAGCGCCCCCTGGTGCCAGGCAATCACTAGACACTTTTTAAAAAATCTCTGATGAATCAAATTCCACAGATTTGACTCAGGGTTGACCTTTGCCTGGCTTTGAGCTGGATTTTGGTTAAAAACAAAATAACTGTGCCCTGAGCATGCCCAGAGGAATCTGAAGTTAGGAGGAGGACTGTCCCTCTCAGCCCTTATACAGCCTGACATATGCAACTGTGTACAGAATAAAATTACCAAAGTACATTTATGTCTGTCCTGGGCCTATGTACAGCCATCATCGTGCACCTGACTGTCTCGTTGCAAGGGCCATTAGCTGGGGTGGGCAGACTGGTAAAATACCCTATAGGCTGATGTGGGCTGGCCTGAGCTCTTACCTTGGCATGTCTGCCAGGGACATTGGCAGATGAGGAGTTTGCCAAGGAGTTGACTTTTTTTTTTTTTTCTGCTTCCTGAAGGATATGTATCCGCTTCATCCCCTTGGAGGCCTGGCAGATTGGAAAGAAAGGAACTGTCATGACGTTTCTATGATTGAAACAAAGAATCCAGGGCGCCTGCTGAGCCTTCCAGAGCCCTCTAGAGAGGCTTCCTGGCAGACTTGTGGCCAGTAGACACCACTGCCAAATACCTCCTTTGTATATGTGTCTGTGGCTTCACTGCACGCTTTGGTTTTTCTTCTCCAGTCTCATGAATAAATATGAGGTCAAATAAAGGAAGAGAGTGTAACCCCAACATGGCTTCTCTGCTTCTGTTACCCCTCTTTGGCATCCTGGATGCTCTCGAGGGTGTGATCTGTTCATCAGGGCAAAGGATGGGGTGCTTCCTGTTCACAGGGCTGCTGTTTCATGTTTGCTAAAATCTGGGGTGCAGACACTTGGAAGGTCTGCTTTCCACACCCGTGTGCAGACCACTGGGGACGTGAGAGCAACTGGTCTGGAGGGAGGGAAAGACAATCCTTACCTTGGCCTGGGCTATCACTGTTGACTGATGAGCTGGGCCTGGAGAATGAGGCTGGCTGCATTTCAGGGATCATCCCAGGGGCTTCACTGTGTTCCTTGAGTCTTGTTGATGCCAAATGCAGGGAATGTAATATCTGCTAGCATGCCAGGTCCAGAGATGCGATTCCTTCCACTAGGAACGGAACAGCTGCTATTCCCACTTCCCATCTACATGGCTTTGTATTTCAGACTCTACAGACGGAGTGAGGAACCCAAAGGAGTCTCCATCTCTTCCTTTCCATACGTTCTATGCAGAGCTTACTGCTTATAACCCATAGATATCCCTGCATGGTTAGATGGTTGGCTATCCTCATCTTTAGACACTGATGAAACTTCACATTACGCTTTTTATCCCATAAGCTCATAAAGTTAGTTTCCAGTGGTGTTTGCCTAGGCCTGCTGTTGTGAGTGTTGCTGCCGGGGCCTCTCATTGAAGGCTCTGCCTTGGAGACCCTTCGGGCTCCCTGTAGTTTAGCATATTTCCCAGGCTGGAATGAGGTAGCTTCTGATGTGTAATATGAGGTGAGGGCAGCTGGCTGAGTGATGTGGAACATGGTGTTAGCTGTAGGGTTTGCAGAAGTATTGGCCATAGATGTGGGGGGATAATGGGAGACAAAGTCAGCCTCCGGGCATGCAGCTGATGGAGACAGTATCCTGTGCTGAGACCATACAACACCTCTGGAACAGAGTCCAATTCACAGAGCATATTCTAACAACTATGTGAACGAGATGCTGTGTTCAGGCCATTGACCAGATGCGAGGTGTGAGCCTCTTGAAGAGGAATGAGAGAGTCTAGGAACTCCCAGAGAGTAGGTAGCAGTGGCCTTTTGTTACCTAAGAGGATGTTCTCACCCCAGGGGAGTAAGGAGGTCGGTAGCATTGCTGCTAGCTCTGTCTGTTCTAGGGGAGATGGCGGGAATGGATCCAAGTCTTTATGAGGTTTTGTTTCTTTTGTGACATCCTGAGATCAGATGATGGAATGCCCAGTGCATTGATGTTTGACCCTTGGCAAATCGCCTACCCTTTCAGCTTCTTTCCTCCTCTGTACCATATGGAGATGAAAATATCCCCCCAGATGGCTGGAGAATGACCATGGTACCTTCTCTTCCCACTGCATTTCCCCAGTGTTGACATCCTACCTACCATATCTAAGCCACAGTACCAAGGAAGGCCCCTGACCACTAATACCTCCAGATCTATAGTCCTAAGCCCTTTGGATGTCTGCAGAGTTGCTGTACCAGGCCTGCATGGCACAGGGCAAGTCATGGTGACGGTGGGCACAGGCACACCTCCTAGGGAATGCTGCTTTCTGTTTTTAAAAACAATCTAGGGCTTTAGAACACCAGGTCCTGAAAAGCCAGAGACAGCCAAACCTAACCACCTGTGTCACAGCGCTAGAACCAAGGTATGGAGCCCTGGCAGTCTCCCCGTGTGCCTTGCCCCCTGAGCTTCCGGGAGTTAGTCCTGTCCCTTATGTTTTTACATACTCTGGGCCACCTGGAAATACTTTCTAGAAATCACAGTTGGCTATAGACATTATTCCCTAAACAGTTATTAGGTGAAAAAACATCCACATTAGGAATAAGCAAAGAG